GCTGGAGAATGTCCTCGCGGACAAAGGCTTCGTGCGTGCCAAAGCTGGAGGCTGGTGGGTCTACAGCATATACCTCGCCCCTAGCCTCTCGCTAGCAGAGTTCGCTGTTATCCTTGACAGGCTCGCTGCTGATGCTAGAGGCCGTTCTCCGACTCTGCTAGCGGGCGATTTCAACGCCTGGGCGGTCGACTGGGGTAGCCCAAACACAAACGCACGTGGCAGAACCCTATTAGAAGTGCTCTCAACGCTGGATGTGGCCCTACTCAACGTAGGACAGGAACTCACCTTCAGCCGGGCGGGAGCTGGTTCTGTAGTAGATCTCACCTTCGCCAGTCGGTCGAGAGCAGGGCAGTGCACGTGGATGCTCAGTAGGGTGTACACGGCAAGCGACCATGCAGCGATCTTCACCACGTTGGACGCCGGGACAACACGGCCACCACCTCCCCCGCGCAGCAGCGCAAGTGCTTCAGGGTGGATTCGCTCGACACCCAAGCCTTCGCGTCTAGGATGCAGAGAGTGGAAGCGACGGGCGACCCTGAAGCAATGGCTAACTCGGTGATGTCACAGGTGCTCACGGCCTGCGAGGAGTGCATTCCTTCCAGGACCGCCCACTCTAGGCATCGCGACTCTGTGTACTGGTGGAATCACGAGATAGCAGAGGCACGGAAGGACTGCGTAAGAGCCAGGCGGCAATACCAACGGTCGTACGGTTCCCAGTCACACCTGGTAAAGCGTGAGACATACCACCGGTGCAGAAGGGCTCTCAAGGCGGCAATAAAGGGCAGCAAGAAGAAATGCTTCCTTGATCTGTGCGAGGCAGCTGACCGAGACCCGTGGGGAAATGCGTACAAGATTATTGTGAAGAAGGTCGGTAGAGCCAACAACCGCGCCCCACTGGACGCCGAAAGCCTCGAGAGGATAGTCGCGCACTTGTTCCCCAGGATGACTAACCCGGAGCTTGCAGCAGGGGCTGGCACCTACCCGTTGCATGAGCTGGAGCCCGTCTCCGAAGAAGAGATGCTGGCAGTGGCGGCAAGGATCAAGGTGGCGAAGGCGCCAGGCCCGGACTGCGTTCCCAACAGGGCGCTTAAGCTAGCGATTTGTCTCCGTCCGGATATATTCGCGGCGCTGTTTGATAAGTGCATGCGAGAAGGGCTCTTTCCCTCAAGGTGGAAAGCGCAAAGGCTGGTCCTGTTGCCTAAGCCGGGAAAGCCGCTGGACGACCCAGCATCCTTCAGACCCATATGTCTGATTGACGGGGCCGGCAAGGTGTTGGAATACCTGATTAGTACGAGACTGGAGAGGGCCATAGTAGAGGCAGGAGGCCTCTCTGACTCCCAGTACGGGTTCAGGAAGGCCATGTCGACCGTCGACGCAATCACCAAGGTGGTGGACATTGCCTCCGAGGCTATCGCCGGACAGCGCTGGAAAGGGGGCTCTAAGGAATATTGCCTTATTGTCACCCTGGACATACGCAATGCCTTCAACACGGCGAGATGGGGCCGGATAATGGATGCCCTGTCCAACTTCGGGGTTCCCACCTATCTGCTCAACCTGATGCGAAGTTATTTTCACGACAGGGTGCTGCAGATAGACTCGGACAGCGGCACTCAAGCGGTCGAGCTGTCGTGCGGGGTTCCGCAAGGGTCCGTGCTTGCGCCACTTTTGTGGAATGCAATGTACGACGGCGTTCTCCGGCTCCCACTACCAGGGAGAACGAAGATTGTGGGCTTCGCAGACGACATAGCGGTGGTCACTGTCGCAAAGGAGATCAAGAGAGCAGAGGAGACCAGCAGCCAGAGTATCGCCATCATTAACGAGTGGCTGTCGAACGCCGGATTGCAGCTAGCGCCGCAGAAAACCGAAGCTGTCCTGGTGAGCAGCAGGAAAAAGGTGGAGGTGGCAAGCGTTCGGGTCTGCGATGCAACGGTCAGATCTTCTAGAGCTATCAAATACCTAGGAGTGATGATCGACACCAGACTCTCCTTCAGGGAGCATCTGACGTACGCAAGCTCTAAGGCTGCCACGGCAGTGAGAGCGCTGTCCAGGATTATGCTGAAACACCATGGCCCAAGGCAAGCGAGCAAGCTCCTTCTAGCGAGCGCAGCTAGAGCGACCATGCTGTACGCAGCCCCTGTGTGGAGTCACGCCATGGCATCTCCTTCGTACAGCCGTGGTCTGGTTGCCTCACACCGTCTGGCCGCTCTACGCATCTGCAGTGCGTTTCGGACGGTCTCGGACCAGGCGGCGCTGGTTATAGCTGGCACCCCGCCGATAGATCTGCTGGCCAAGGAGCAAGCAGAAATACATAAGAAGGTCCACGGCCGAGTCCTATCGGCCGGGGAGAAGAAGGAGGCACGAGCAGCTGCAAAGAGTGCATCTCTAACCGCTTGGCAAGCAAGATGGGATGCCTCACCAAAAGGGCGTTGGACGCACCGCCTAATACCGTGGACCAAGAGGGCGCACGGGCAGGTGAACTTCTTCCTGTCCCAGGTCCTCAGTGGCCACGGTTGCTTCAGAAGTTACCTGCACAGGTTCGGCCACGAGGAGAGTGGAGGCTGCAGTCGTTGCGGCCATGATGTCGAGGAGACAGCCGAGCACGTGCTGTTCTCGTGCGAAAAATTCGTGAACGAGCGTCGCACGGTTGAGACCCTTCTAAGGACCAGCATCACGGTAGAAAACCTTGTTCCCGAGATGCTGAGGAACGAGGAAAACTGGCAGGGAGTCTCCAGCTTTGCCGCCACGATCATGGGCAAGCTCAGGATCGAGGAAAGGCGCAGGAACCAGGAGCAGACGTAATGGGGAGCGGCGCCCGCGCGAAGCATTGCTTCGCTGCCGTACCGCGCGAGCGTTATGCCCCATCTACTGTAACCCCATTTTCCATTATGTACATGTTCCCCCCCCCACTTTTAACTCTAAATAAACGAATTTAAAAAAAAAAAAAAAAAACACACAACTGTACGAGAGAGAGTGTTTTTCTACTCACAGTGGTTGGACGCGTTTTTCCGAGCTCCGAAAGTGAACCGTCTAGGAGCCAGTATAAACACCTCGGAAGCAGCTGAAAAGCAGTATTAGTGCAGTGTGAGACACCTCGGGACAAGGGTACGTACCAGAACCGGCCCAGGGAGGATATCCGAATCTTGGGAATCTTGGTACTCGCGATCGCCATAGACCCCCAGGGCAAGGGGGGGGGACCGCTCTCTCGTCCAGTGAGCTCCTCACTCTCACGAGGCCCACCCATACGGCCCCAGTTAATATTCCGCAGCTGGCTCCAGTGGGGCAACGAGCAGAAGGCCAAGGAACTAGCCGCTATCCAACCCCTCCGCTGAGGCGGCGCCAGTCAAAAGGGGCTCTGGGGACCGAGAAGGAGCGGTATAACTCCCATCAGGCATCCACTGGGGAAAATCCCTGTGCACCGAGGGACCCCACTAAGGAGCAGGTGCGATGAGCCAAACGAAACCGCCTGCAGGCCGGGACGACGAGACCCAGGCATTAGCAGTAGCTAGAGCAGAGGAGGAACTGCTGCGAAACTTCCAGCGCAACAAGCAGAAGATGCAACACTCGCCTCCCGCGAGCATGCCAGAGAAGCAACCGGTGTCGGCACCGCCAAATGTGCAGGGACCCGTGTTTGTTTTCGGCGAGACTGAGGAGGAAACGGCTTTGATGCTGTGAGCCCCGATGGGAACCAGTCAGGAGCGCACAAGAAGCAGAGAGTGGACACTAGCGCACCAGCACTAGCCGAAAAGCTGGGGAAGATGCTAGACGAGATGATCGCCAAGTTCACGGATACCAAGACAAACAACAAAAAGGTGGTCCGCCACGTCACCCAGGGGACAATCGACTCCATGATGGCGATGAAAAAGCTGCAGGTCGACATCAGTGCAGCGCTGGCCGATGGCCACACCAAGGGCTCTACCTCGAGCGTAAGCCAGCAGACCACTCCCACGCTGACAGCCACGATCCTTAAAGCGGCCTGCACCACCGGGCCAGGAAATTCGGCATGGCAACAGGTCAGGGCCAAGCCTAAACCCAGGAATTCCCAACCGAGACCGGAGAGCAGCGAACCCAAAGGGACTCGAGCACCAAACGCTGTCATGCCCAGGAAGCAGCGCGCCGACGCTATTTTAATAAAGTGCAGCGAAGGCTCGTACGCAGATATGTTGAAGCTGGTCAAAACTGAGCCCTCCCTCCAGGGACTCAAAGATAATGTTCAAGGCTTGCGAAGAACTGCAAATGGCGGACTCCTATTGAGAATGCAGAAGCCTCAGGACCCGTCCACACAGCAGCTGCAGGCAGCACTCAGGACGGCCATATCCGATAAAGCAGAGGTGGCGGTCATGCAGGAAACTGTGCAAGTGGAGATTCGCGACCTGGACGAGATGACCAGCGGCGAAGAAGTCACTATGGCTCTGTTTGCCGGAGAGGATTCAGACATCGCAAGCAACGCTGCACCTAGGATGCGGAAGGCGTTTGGCGGCACGCAAACAGCAACCGTCAACCTCAGGCCTGATCATGCGCGGCGACTGCTCGATAAGGGCAAAATCCGAATCGGATGGGTCGTCTGTCGCATCAGACAGAAGACCGAGCTAAGGAGGTGCCTCAAATGCATGGGCTATGGGCATACCTCGACGAGATGCAGGGCCTCAGACTCAGTAGCCAAGGCCACACAAAACTCCTGCTTCAGATGCGGGGAAGAAGGCCACAAGCACTACACGTGCCAAGCCAAGCCCAGGTGTATCCTATGCACCAGAGGAGGCAAACCCGCGGGTGAAGCTGCGCACGCTACTTTGAGCAGGATCTGCCCTGAGTACCTGAAGGCCACCCATAACACGCAGAATGGTTAAGTTTTTACAGCTTAACTTAAACCACTGCAGAGCTGCCGAAGATCTGCTGTCACAGACGGTTTTCGAGGAGGAAATTGACATTTCTGTACTGAGTGAACCGTACAAGTCAAAGGCAGAGGGAGTATGGCAACAAAGTGCGGATGGTGGTGCAGCCATATGGAGCTGCGGGCAGTCCCCGGACACCTGTCGCAGAGGGCGTCGAGACCTGGCTATGCAAGGGCTAAGGTCCAAGCAACCACCATCTACAGCTGCTACCTTGCCCCGAGCTTGCATATAGATGCCTTTAGAGACATCTTGCAGGAGATCGCCCGAGACGCCCGCGGAAGATCCCCAGTACTAATCGCTGGGGACTTCAATGCGTGGTCCACCGCCTGGGGGAGCTCGAAAACGACTCAGCGGGGAACCATCCTTCTGGACGCCCTGGCCACATTAGACGTTTGTCTCCTGAACGATGGAGCTAGATGCACCTATAGCAAGGCAGGCAGAGAGTCAATCATTGACCTGACTTTCGCCAGCCCGGAGCTCTGCCGGACCAGCCACCAGCTCCACTAGAGGAAATGGAAGGAGACCAGTCCCCTGGTGGAATCATGAGATATCCGTCGCCAGGAGCGAGTGCCTCTCTGCAAGGCGAAGATGTCAACGAAGTCGAGGGCGTCCCACGCAAGCGCTGTTCGAGACATGCTACAAGGAGAAAAAAAAGCCCTCAAAATCGCTATTAAGACGAGTAAGAGCAGGTACTTCCAATAGCTGTGCGATGCAGCAGACCAGGAACCCTTCGGCTCGGCCTACAAGCTGGTCATGGGCAAGCTCTACAGACCGCCGACTCCAACCTCCCAGGAACAACTTGGAGCTATAATCTCCACGCTCTTCCCGTCGCAGCCGCCCCTCGTGCTGCCAAACATAGTGAAGCGATCTTCACCAGCGAGGAGGAATTACTGTGCGCGGTGGCCTGCAGCAAGGCAGCCAAAGCCCCGGGACCCGATGGCATTCCCAACGCTGCACTTCATGCCATAATGAAGTCATACCCAAGCCTATTTTCACAGGTATACAACAGGTGCATTGCGGAGCGCACTTTTCCAAGAGCATGGAAGCAGCAGAGACTAGTGCTTATCCCTAAACGAGGCAAAATGAATGACGACTCGTCCTCATATCGCCCCCTGTGCATGCTCAACACACTGGGGAATATCTTTGAGCGCATAATCTGCAACAAGTTAGAGAGAGATATCGAAGAGCGTGGAGCCCTATCGAATCAGCAGCACGGTTTCAGGAAGAAGCGGAGCACGATCGACGCGATACGAGAGGTAACGCTAATGGCAGCAAACGCGATCGAAGGCGAAAGATGGCAGGGAGGCACCAAGCAATACTGCCTGGTCTGCACCCTAGATATCAAAAACGCTTTCAACTCAGCAAATTGGAGCTTAGTCCTGCAGGCACTCCAACACGGCGGCATATCAGGGAACCTCACCCTCCTGATAGCGGACTACTTCAAAGATCGCGTCTTTCTGTACACATCCGACGACGGCAACCAGATGCATCACGTGACAGGTGGTGTACCCCAGGGATCTGTTCTTGGGCCAATCCTGTGGAACGTCATGTACGACGGGATCCTGAGACTTCCACTACCAAATGGCTGCGCCGTAGTAGGGTTCGCTGACGATATAGCGCTAGTCACGGTGGAGAAGCACCTGCCCGATGTCTCTGCTAAATGCAGTCTTGCAATCGACATGATGATGTCTTGGCTGAAAGACAATGGTCTCTCGCTCGCCGAACACAAAACGGAAGCAGTGCTCATAAGCAGTAGAAAGACCGTAGAGAAGGTCACCTTCCGGGTTGGCTCGACATACTTCGAGTCCAGTCCGGCGATCAAGTACCTCGGAGTCATGATCGACCATAGGCTGAATTTTAAGAGCCACCTGGAGTACGCAGCGGCCAAGGCATCTAAGGCCACGGCCGCTATCTCTAGGATGATGGCCAACACCCGTGGCCCAAAGCAGCATAGCAGACGATTAATAGCTACAGTGGTGACCTCGACCATCTTGTACGCCGCTCCGATTTGGGCGGAAGCCATGAGGACTGTCAGCTACAGCCGGCAGTGTAAGTCTGTCTACAGACGCTGTGCTTTGCGCATCTCGAGCTGCTTCTGCACGGTGTCAGAAGAAGCTGCATTGGTGGTATCGGGAGCAATCCCAATAGACCTACTGGCAGAGGATCGCAGGACTGGGAATTCAGGTAGCAGAATCCAGAGAAGCAGCACCATGGCTCAATGGCAGGATAGATGGAATAACGCGAGCACAGACCCCCTCCAAATGGGATGCGGTTGCTGAAATGGCAGCATCCGTGATGCGAGAGCTGAGGCGCCGGGAGCAGACCCGTCGCACTGAAGGCCGATGAGCGGCATTAGGACCGCCAGCCGCCCCCGTGAAGTATAGCTTTGCGGCAGTCCCACGGGTGCGGACTCTTCCACTCTTTCCCTTTTTGTATATTACACTTAACTCTATATTCTTTTTTAATAAAAAAAAAAAAAAAAAAAAAACACAACTGTACATTTAGCGGGCATGAAGCCCAAAGTTACTTTGCCCAAGAAGGGCCAAATTAGATTTAAATTAAGACCGCAACGAACAAGCGTATACATTTTTCAAAGACGGACTGTAGCGACCGCGCTGAAGACATTTCCCCTCTCCGCTGCCGACGCAAGCCGACGCGAACAGCGGCAGAGGCAGCGACATTTCCCCTCCGACGATCGTGCGTGTTTACGTTTTGATCGTGTTTATTTACATGACGATCAAAACATAAACAAAAACAATAATAAAGCCGACGGCCGAAAGCTGCGCTGCCCGGACATTTTTGGCAGAGACTAGGCGACAAGGGCTTTGCAATTTTCGACCGCGATCACTTCCCTGGCAGCGTCGAACGCGATCGTGACTTCTCTGGCAGCTGCGAACGCGATCGGTCGAACTTAGTCCCGCGATAAGTCCAAAAGGACTCGAAAACCAACGACGCAGTATCCAAGTCCCAAAAGACACGCGAGTGCCCGAGGAGCCTTCGGCTGACGGACACGTGTCCTCGCCCACCGACAACAGCGGGTGAGCCATGTCAGAGTAGCTTTTCTGGAGTGTGGCGTAGGGCCAGGCAAGGTGTTGTTAACCGTAGCCAAAGTTAGGAATAAATGTACACAGTTACGTAATAAAAATGAAGATCAAAATCGTATCGTTTTCTCCCTCTCACTCACACCGAACTCCGCGTAGCAACAGTCAACCCTTATTGTGACGCGTGCCAAAGTGTTCCCCTCCCGCTCACTCACTCGCCGAGCTGGTGGCTGGGTTCCCCCGCACCAACTTCGCGTGGCCGCTGGGCAAACTCCGGGCCGGAGAAGCGGGACGGGAGCGGGATTTGTCGCCGCTGGGTTTTCCCGGGCACAAATCTGGCGTGGGCATCGGGGCTGCTGGGTTCTCCCGAGCTACGAGTTCATCGCCGCCGGCGCGTGTTTTCCCCTTTTTCCCTCTCCTTTCCCTTCCGATCTGCATTTTGCCCGCCATCGCCGCTGGGTCATCCCGGGCGGCGGAGATTTTGCCGATCGAAAGAGTCGCCGAGCGGGCGCCGGAAACGGAGGAGCACCTGGCCATCGCCAGGGTAATCGCGTCCAAGGTTCCCATTTCATCACGTCCGATTTTTCCCCTCGAAAACGAGCCCCCTTTCGCTGCTATTATTTGCCTAGAAAATTCATTAAAAGTCGGCGTCCATGTTCTGGCCGTCTCTAAAAATATAAATATTTCTGGAGAGGAATCCTGGGCCGCTGAGGTTTACCCCGGCCTAAGACACATCCTTACAGATGGCGCCCGAACAGGGACCGGTCAGGACAGCTAGGATAATTTTTCTCAGTGGATTAAAGCTCCATTGGCCGAAAACAAAATTTTGTAGTGGAAAAATATATAAAAATAAATTTTTCACGAAGGCAAAAACAGGGAAATGTAGTTTTCTAAACGACCGCGCTGAAGACATTTCCCCTCTCCGCTGCCGACGCAAGCCGACGCGAACAGCGGCAGAGGCAGCGACATTTCCCCTCCGACGATCGTGCGTGTTTACGTTTTGATCGTGTTTGTTTACATGACGATCAAAACATAAACAAAAACAATAACAAAGCCGACGGCCGAAAGCTGCGCTGCCCGGACATTTTTGGCAGAGACTAGGCGACAAGGGCTTTGCAATTTTCGACCGCGATCACTTCCCTGGCAGCGTCGAACGCGATCGTGACTTCTCTGGCAGCTGCGAACGCGATCGGTCGAACTTAGTCCCGCGATAAGTCCAAAAGGACTCGAAAACCATCGACGCAGTATCCAAGTCCCAAAGGACACGCGAGTGCCCGAGGAGCCTTCGGCTGACGGACACGTGTCCTCGCCCACCGACAACAGCGGGTGAGCCATGTCAGAGTAGCTTTTCTGGAGTGTGGCGTAGGGCCAGGCAAGGTGTTGTTAACCGTAGCCAAAGTTAGGAATAAATGTACACAGTTACGTAATAAAAATGAAGATCAAAATCGTATCGTTTTCTCCCTCTCACTCACACCGAACTCCGCGTAGCAACAGTCAACCCTTATTGTGACGCGTGCCAAAGTGTTCCCCTCCCGCTCACTCACTCGCCGAGCTGGTGGCTGGGTTCTCCCGCACCAACTTCGCGTGGCCGCTGGGCAAGCTCCGGGCCGGAGAAGCGGGACGGGAGCGGGATTTGTCGCCGCTGCGTTTTCCCGGGCACAAATCTGGCGTGGGCATCGGGGCTGCTGGGTTCTCCCGAGCTACGAGTTCATCGCCGCCGGCGCGTGCTTCCCCTTTTCCCTCTCCTTTCCCTTCCGATCTGCATTTTGCCCGCCATCGCCGCTGGGTCATCCCGGGCGGCGGAGATTTTGCCGATCGAAAGAGTCGCCGCTGCTGGGCAACCGAGCGGGCGCCGGAAACGGAGGAGCACCTGGCCATCGCCAGGGTAATCGCGTCCAAGGTTCCCATTTCATCACGTCAGATTTTTCCCCTCGAAAACGAGCCCCCTTTCGCTGCTATTATTTGCCTAGAAAATTCATTAAAAGTCGGCGTCCATGTTCTGGCCGTCTCTAAAAATATAAATATTTCTGGAGAGGAATCCTGGGCCGCTGAGGTTTACCCCGGCCTAAGACACATCCTTACAGTTTTTACACGGCTAATACATTTGCATACTCAATTGTAAATTTGAAAACAAAAAGTTCACAACTCAGCTAATAATGCCTGAATCCACTTCAGAATTTGTATTTATATTAGTTTTTACACGGCTAATACATTTGCATACTCAATTGTAAATTTGTAAACAAAAAGTTCACATCTCAGCTAATAATGCCTGAATCCACTTCAGAATTTATATTTATATTAGTTTTTACACGTCTAATACATTTGCATACTCAGCTAATAATGCCTGAATCCACTTCAGAATTTTTATTTATATTAGATTTTACACGGCTAATACATTTGCATACTCAATTGTAAATTTGTAAACAAAAAGTTCACATCTCAGCTAATAATGCATGTATCCACGGC